TGCGCCATAGCCTCTTGGCGCCGCTCGCCATCGCTGCCATGCGTGCACCGGCGCCGATCTGAAGTTCTGCGACCATAGAGTCGACCCCAAACCTGGCACCAATTCCAGCCATGGCAACATCACGTTCACCGGCTACCAGCTGCCCCAGGTAGTAAAACGCCTCGCTGACACGACCAGCAATAACTGGGCATGATCTGAACGCTCTGAAGGTGAAGCCACCGCTGCTGTTCGAGGAGTCCCTCTGTGCTCGTCGGGGTTTCTCACACACTTCAGTTTCGTCAGTTTCGTCAGTGTAAGAAGGAGCAATAGGAGAGAAACAGGTCATGTGTTTGTTTTAAATAGCGGGCTATGGAAAATAGCGGCGGTCCTCAAAATCAGCTATAGCGGGTTATTTGTGAAGACGACCATTTAGCGGCACCCTGCTAAAAAGGCTATAGCGGGCTATAGTGAAGCTATAGCCGGCTAATTAAAACTATGGTGTTTATGTATTTGTCGAGTGTTACAAATGTGCAGAGAAGAGGAGGATGCAGGTGTGGCCACTACCCTAACAACCTCCATAAGAAACTCATCTAGGTAAGCTTGTGTGATCATGCACTAAAGACTAGGACTGGTAGTTATGGAGAGAGAGAGCTACGTTGGTTCAGTTTCAACAGGTTCAAAAAATTCAGTTTGTTGGTTTCGCCGAAGTTTCAGTTGTTAGCTAATTTCTCGCACACGTCGTCCACTTCGTCACATCACTCATGCACGTAGCCTACCTCGCCGTTGCACTCGCACACATCGACGCCGGTGGTTGTTGATCGGTCCATTCGGTCTAGTCGGTCTGGCTCAGGCTTCGTCGGCACCGGTCCAGCCCCCCAAAACAGGACCGCTCGCCTGCTTGGTCCGGTCTGGTCCAGCCCGCTGGCGGCCGGTCTAAACGACGGCTCGGACCGGGACCGGACCGGCCCAGACCGTGTTCACTTTGATGGACACATCAATTATCTCTCCGATGTTTTTCGCAAAAAAAATATCTCTCCGATTGCAACGCACAAGCACATGTGCTAGTTTATGCTTAAACCAGAATGCAATCTCTCGCTCCACCACGGTCCTTTCCTTTTTATTTTTTGCGTGTGATGGCCAAGCCCGGCCCAACGGGCGCAGCTTCCTCATCCTTCCCGCGCGCGGCCACTACGCGTAGTGAATGGATTAATGCATGCTCCATTACAGCCTTCGGCGTTAAGAAAATCTCAGCAATAGATGATGCTCATTAATTGGCAGCACTTAATGCTGGCCAGGGATGGAAGGATAGAGATAGATAGAGATGGACTGGAGAGTCTTCGTCTTCGTCTTGCCGCTCCACAAGACAAAAAGGAAGTCTTTGTTTGTCCATAGCCAGTCTGAATTCCTAACTCGCCGTCGCCAATGGGATCATACTCAATTTTGCGTCCCCCCGGCCTCAACTTCCCGTCGCCCGTCTGCCGGGCGATGAGGCAATCCAAGTCCATGGTTCTCGCTACCGCCGGCCCGCCTGGTTTCTCTTCCGCCGGCCCGCCTGGGTTCTCTTCCGCGCCCCTCCACGGCAGCCGCGGCCAGGACTTGGTCGGTGGCCTCGGAGGCGACAAGGATAACGTCGACCAAGGTGAGCTCACGAAC